TACGTGGAGGACGCTTTATTTCACTTCACTACACGGCAGGCTTTGGCTGTGTTCCCTGGCCGGACGAGCCATGTGCGCTAGCCTGGCCGCGTTATATAAACGGGTTTTTAGTTAAATGAGTTTTAACCGTGTTTTTAGAAAAACAAGTTGTATTTGTAAGGGCTTGTTTGGCTGCACATAGATTTATCTTAATTGAAAGAGATTAAAGTGAAATTTAAACTAAATTTCATCTTAATTTTAGGATTAAAATGGAACTTATACTAAATTTCATCTTCAATCCTTTCTCAAACCACGTGAATTAAGATGGATTTGTGTGGAGACAAATAAAGCCGGTGGGTGCAGGGAGCAGGGACGCGGCCACACGGGGGTCAGTGGGGTGTAGGGAGTAGGGACACGGGGGTGAGGGGTGAGGGGTGCGGGGAAGCAAAGGGAGGGAGGAGAATGAGGGCCGTGGTGATCACGCGCGCCGGCGGGCCGGAGGTGCTGGAGGCGCGGGAGGTGGAGAACCCTCCCGCGCTAGGCGAAGGAGAGGTGCTCCTCGAGGTCGCCGCCGCGGGCGTCAATCGCGCGGACACCGTGCAGCGGATGGGCCGGTACCCGCCGCCTGCCGGCGCGTCCCCTTACCCGGGGCTCGAGTGCTCCGGCACCATCCTCGCGCTCGGCCCCAACGTCCCCTCGCGCTGGGCCGTGGGCGACAAGGTGAAATGAATCTGAACCCACCACTTGCTCCTACGGTGGATTGGGGTTTGCTTCTGCTGCTGCTGATGTTCTGATTGGTTTCCGTGCTTTTGCTTCACAGATCTGCGTGCTGCTCAGCGGCGGCGGGTACGCGGAGAAGGTGGTGGTGCCGGCGGGACAGCTGCTGCCGATACCGGAGGGGGTGTCGCTGACGGACGCAGCCGGCTTGCCCGAGGTGGCCTGCACCGTCTGGTCAACCGTATTCATGACCAGTCACCTCTCCCCCGGTGAATCATTCCTTGTAAGAACAGCTCTCTTATTAGTAGCATTTCTCTTGGTAATTGATTGCATTTCGATTTCTCATTTCCTGACCATAATCTTGTACACATAAATCAATAGGCGTTCAATTTTCTATAGCTGCTAAGCCTTGGCAATTGCGGACTGAAAATAGTAAAATATACTGGGTTAAATAAATAATTAAGGCATATACCTAAAATGAAAAAGGCTACCAAATTCTTCCATGCCATCTAATGGGCTGTGGGTGTGGAGTCTCTTCGCAATTACCTAACTACAAGAGGAAAAGAAGCATGTTCTCAGCATGGGATTAGCATTGAATCTATCTGCCCGTGTTAGTTCCTGATGATTGTGTATCTTCAAATTTGCAGATCCATGGAGGATCAAGTGGAATTGGTACTTTCGCTATACAGATTGCGAAGCACCTCGGAATTAAGGTTTTTGTCACTGCAGGTTTGTTCACTGTTACAGATATAAGATAAAGTCAAATGTTCCTGGTAATGGCCCTAGTAATTTTTTGTACTACTGTAGGAAGTGAAGAAAAACTAGCAGCCTGCAAAGGTTTGGGTGCTGATGTATGCATTAACTACAAAACTGAAGACTTCGTTGAACGTATTAAACAGGAAACCGACGGAAAGGGTATTAAGTTATTAACATCCCACCTGATTATCTTTGATCTTTTACATTGTACATAAGGTCTGAGTTGTATGCACAGGGCCGGTCCTGAGTATTTTTTGACCTAGAACGAAACTAAATTTTTGGGTCTTTTTATATAGACATGATAATACTACTAGTACTGCTCATTGCTAGTATATATACACATATGAAATATTACTAATAAGCAGTTAACTGAATGCAAAACAATATTCATAGGAAATAATTTGTATACATATTAAATTACCTCAAAAATTTCTTCTAACATTCCTCAATGTGAAGTCATCGATGACGGTGTCAATATCAATCTCATCCAACAATCGCTTCTCAATGCGTGCTCATGATCACTCACATTATATATGTTCATCCATGTCTATGTCAACATTGTCTTCCATATGGTCCTGATGATCTTCTGGATTAGCATTAGCTGGTTCCTCCACAGCAACTATTGCCAATACATCTGGATCTCTTGAAGTGCTTGTATTACTCTTAAGAAATTTATAAAGAGCCCCTCTCTATGATTGTATCAAATCATCTATTCGCTTTTTCTTCTTTCTTTTGTCATTACCAGAAGCATACTTTTTCGATGACATTGTACTGTTAAAATTTAGAGAAACAATTACTCAAATTAGTAACTACAATTTCATAAAGTAGGGATCACGTGAGAAACAATTAGTAACTAGATTTCAGTTCAGATTTCTACCTGTTTGCTGGCTTGCTGCTGCCTGCTTGGTGCCTCGTCGCTGCTCTGCTGGAACTGCCGAACTGGGATCACGTCAGATTAGGGCCCTGTGTGAGATCTCTGTACGCGAGAACTGGGAGCACGCGCAGGAACCAGGAAGGAAGGCCGAAGAGGTGAAGACGTTGGGCGCGTTCGCCGTCCGCATGACTCGTGAGGAAGGAAGTCGAACAGACGAACAGTCGAGCCGCCGAAGCGGAGAAGTCACAAGTCGCATCTTGCAACGCGTGCTGCTTGCGTGATCACGGCGTACCTGGGGAGGGGCCTATCGCCTAGCTGGGCTTGGGACGGCTGCCCCTCCCGCCCCGCCCCAGGGTCGGGCCTGTGTATGCAGGCATGCAGCTACTGATACAGAATGCTGATAGTTCATTAATAGCATTTCTCCTTGTAGAAACTACTTTGATGCTCTTTTTCTTAGCAGCTAGTATTTACCAAGCATTATCCTTAAATAGGCGACATCCTGACTGTAATCTGAAAATCTCACTACCAGGTGTTGATGTTATTCTTGACAATATTGGAGGATCATATCTCCAGCGCAATCTGAACAGCTTGGGTGTTGATGGTAGACTTTTCATCATTGGCTTCCAAGGGGGCATAGTAGCTGAAGTGAACCTGCAAGCTGTGCTTGCACGGCGTTTGACCATACAAGGTATTTTAGTTGCACAAGCCTACAAGGCAATGTCATCCATTATATTTCAGTGATGCTCAGTAGGAATTTTTATGCCACTTTGCTGATGTTTTGTCAGCGTATAGGCAATAGCAACCAACCTCTACGTTCCTAAATGCCACTCCTATTTTAGCACTTGATTAAATTTTTCACATTTTTTTTATATTTGATATATTTTTTCATGATTGTGTGCAGCTGCTGGACTGCGCAACAGAAACCTTGCTAATAAAGCAGAGATTGTTAGTGAGGTGGAAAAGAACGTGTGGCCTGCTGTCACCACTGGCAAGGTGAGGCCAGTGATTTATAAGACGTTTCCATTATCTGAAGCTGCTGAGGCTCATAGGTTGATGGAAGCTAGCACCCACATCGGCAAGATACTGCTGCTTCCATGACTGCGCCTGTAGCATTTGCGCTCTTAGTTCCGGAGGAGTCAGTACATATGCAGCTTCTGTGACGGTCTGCATGAATGGTGTACTGGTGCAGCATTGCCTTTTTATCTTGTATACTAGATTAGATATTTCCCCTGAACAATTCTCTTGTCAATTGGATCCTTCAACTGCTGATGACATTTTTCTGTGAGCTATGATATAATAAATCTACCAGACGGACATGTGCATGCCACTAGAGTACGTCAGTACGTGATGCCAGTGTACTGCTAATGCAGTCTACAGATATGTAGAGATATACAGAATGTTAGTTTCGGCTTATACGATCGTGGATTATAAGCTGAAACAGTATTTTTCTCTCACACCAAACCAGCCCGCAGTACTTCTGGCTTATAATCCACGATTGTTTCGGTCGAAACGAACAGGCTGATATATGTGTTTATGCATCGTGGCCTGATGGCTCTATCTCATCGGCCGGCCGACGACGAGCCGATAGCATATTGGTGAACTCCATTTTCCATGTCAACCAGACGGGAGCCTCACCCTTCATGAATCTCATGGACCGTGGGGTGCTTTCTCACGGTTGAAGACAAGGAGCCAAAGAGAACGCTGAATTCTCCAGGAGCTCGCCTCCTTGGATAACTACCAAGAATTTTTGGTCTGGATGGAGAAGTACCAAGAATTTTTGGTCTGAATGGAGAAGGATGCATCAATTCCTGCACGCCTACCTTGCTGGTGATAATGGAGAAGCAGCAGGTTTTAGAACCAAAGGATGCCCAAGATGCATAAACTTTTTTAAGCATTACTTCTCGTTATCGAATGGCCGACACGATACCATGCAAGTGTTACAAAATCGCTAAAAATTGGCACTAGTCAAATTACTCGTTTCCATCATGTCTTGTGACAAGATGTGGTTATAAAATAAGGCTCCTAGGGAAATAAACGTTCTCTTCATAAATTAATATGCTGCTTTCCATCTTACCCTCTTTAGTCACATGGGTTAGCATAGGAATTATTAAGTTTTCTTACCCTCTTAATAAGTTACTATGCTAGTAAATGAAATATTTGTACACATAGGAAGTGCACATGCTGCCAAGGGAAGGAACTGCAAGTGATCGATAATACAAAGGATTATTAAGTTTCCTGCCAATAAGCCCGGTCCTGGATTTAAAACTTGTCACTATTTTTTTGCATCCCGAGTACAATGTATATTTACAGATAGTCAGGTTCTCAGAAACATGCAAACTGCCACACTGCGAAATTACTCAGAAACTGAAATCCTCACTCAGAAACAGAAGCTAAGCGCCATGGTGCCATCTTTTGCGTTTTTGACTTCTGCAATTTGCATTGCCACTCATGAAATTGCAACTAATCACTTTGGATGAAGTGTGCAGCTCACCATTGGTATAACGGATGAACACTATGGTCTACCATAGCTATGTTCTCAATCATTTTCATATGTCCTAATTCCTAGAACTCAATCTGGTTTTCCTCCCTCTGGTGCTGGACAAACAAAAAGCGTTTAGCTAATCCACCAAAGAAGCTGAAAAACTTCTTCCATGCCCTTAATCTTGCGTAGTTTTCAATGGAGAGTGCAATTGCATTGCTGCCTCAGTGATTCAGTCTGCCGCTTCTGCAATTCGTTATCCTGCAGCAATGGAAATGATTAAGTGGGGTGTACACATTTAGAGAGAATAAAAAATGAAAAGGGACGGAGAGGAAGGCCTGGCAAAAATTTAAAGGTCACCCAGGGTAGAAAGGGCATGGTATAGTAGAGAGAAAGGACTAAATTTGACCGCCCAAACAAAATTACCTTCTGCAACAACTCAAGACGACGGGCTGTACCAGCTAACGAGGCCTTAACCTGTGAAGAGAATTCTCACATGAGCATTGTAGATGGAGTGTTGGAGCATAGCATAGCCAAGTACAAGTATTTGGTAAGCAAGCAATACCTTTGAAAGTTCATCATGCAACTGCCTGTTTTTCTCTACCTCTTTGTCATATTGCATCCTCCATTCGGCAGATTCATCCATCGCTTCTAGGTTTGCTTGTTCAAATTGTCTCCTGATGGTTGATGCGGCAAAAACAAACATATGAAAAGAGAAGCAAAGGTAATGCTTAAGGTAACATGATAAATCAGCAAAGGGTAATATCTCATAGTTGCTCTCTTCCAAAGCTAAAATACATGGATGGCAGTAATGAATATGTCCATATAATAAAGAGGTTGCTAGATGTACAAGAAACAAGATCGGGCCTGGCTACATGGCCGAATAGCTAATCTATGTTCGTCCAGTTCCTTTGTCTATGTTAATAACAAGCAGTTAACTCTATATATCACTCGATAAAAAGTGTTGTATGGCGAGTTGACTACATTTGTGTAAGGCCTTTGATTAACCATATTCAGACATTATTCAAGGAAACCGAACCAAAATACAGTTAGCACTCGACAATCTCCTCTCGGTGAATAATTCAGGCAATTGATTAACCAAATTCAGAAATTAGATGAAACACTTGGATCCATTCATCGTGTGATCAGAAGTCCGAGCAAAAACTGTTTGATTCCTTCCATTTTTGTTTCTGTTGATGGTCCTATACAGGAAATTATAAATCGTAGGCGGGTGAAAAGAAGGAAGGTGGGGAGGAATTGGGGGCGAACCGGAGCTCCTCGCGGTCGTCGGCGGTAAAGGTGGGGTCGCTAGACTGGCGGGTCCAGATGCGGAAGTAGACGGCGGTGCCCATGAGCAGCGCCAACGCGAACGCCACCATCAGGGCCTGCCGCTCCTGCCGCCGCCCCATCCCTCCTCCTCGTCCCCCCACCATCCTCCGCCCTCAGCCCCTCACAGGTCAGATCACCTCCGAAACTCCGTCCACCTCTCAGACCCGACTCGAGCTCCGTCGAGGAGAGGCGCAATAAACACGAAGCAATTGCCTCATCGTGGGCCGTGGGTTCCCGGTACGACGAGCCCACATTTTGCCCCAATGGGTCAAATATTGTCGTCGGATCCAGCCTTCCAGCCCATTGCGCACTGAGCTTGGCTGAGCTTGTGGCGGGAAATGCTTACAGTTCCGTTTACCGCTGTTCATATAAACAATCCGATTTTCCTCAAAAAAGAATATAAATAATCCGATAAATTTACAAACATCTATGATATATCCAAACGATTCCACCCAAGTTTATACAAATTACTGTTAGTTGATCTCCACCAATAGGCCCAACGGCCTATTGGGCCCTTGTCTCTGCTCCCTGATCGGGGGAGCCCAACCCTAATCCGGTTGGTGGGCCCCTGTCGCACAGCACACATAAAAGGAAGGTGGGGGTGAGGGCTCGAAGAAAGAGGTTCACTTGAGCCGCCATCCCACCTACAGAAAACCCTAATCCGATCCTAAAGCCGTCTTTGCCGCCAATGACAGGATGGCCCACCAAACTCATGCCGTCTCCCTGCAGGTCACCACCGGGCCATGGACCTCGCCACCGAGCAGAGCTGCCTCGACACCGGCGTCGCGAGGTCACAGCTGCTTAACCAGCAAGACGGCGAATGGAATGTTACCGGATCTCTGATTTACACACACAAAGGTAAACATCGATCCTAACAATGGTATCAAAGCCGAGTTACAAGTGTGTAACCCTAACCCTAACGGGTAAAAAGAAAAGGAAAAGGGACGGGGATGGCGGATGTCACTTTGGAACCCCACCACCACATGCCATGTGAGGGAAGATGAACGCACCATTGTTTCTACACCGCAAGACAAGAAGCAAAACGAAAAGATCCGTGTTTGGATCGAGAAAAAGAAAGGGAAAAGGGATATCAAGAACCTAACCCTAACCCGCAGTAAAGCTCGGGGAAGAAGAAAACAGAATCGAATCGAACACTTCCTTTCGGACGAAGAGAAAAGAACCGAACACTCCCTAACCCTAACCCTAACTGGGTTAAAGAAAGGGGAAAAGAAAGGTTTCGGCCCTAAGATGAATAGAGTCGAACCCTAAATCAAAGTAAAGAAAAAAAAATCAATTGAAAAGCGAAACCCTAGAACGAATCCACATCGCTAATCGGTTCAATCCGAGAAGAAAGAAAGGAAAGCAGAAAAAAAAAAGAAGAAGAGTGGGCTCGGCACACGAACCCTAACCCTAGATCCATTTGGATGAACTCCGAAAAGGAAAAAAATTAAAAGAATATGAAACCCTAACCCTAGATCCCATTCGGATGAACTCCGAAAAGAAAAGAAAGATCACAAAAGCAAATCAAAGAAAGGGGAAAAGGGGAGGGTCGGAATCCGAACCCTAACCCACGACACGATTCGGATGAACTAAAGGAAATGGAAGATCTCACCACTGTACCGCCGCCGGGCGCGTGCTCGTGAGGCTAAGAGAAAGAAAGTTGAAAAGAAGACGGAGATCTAGGGTTTCGTGGTTTGGGAGCTCTCACCGGGGGGAAAAAGGGTGCCGCCGCTAGTCCTCTCGGACGGGTGGCGCTCACCAGCGATGGGGGGGCCTGCTGCAGCCGGCGAAAAAGGGCGGCCACGGCACACCGATCGCTTTCGGTCGCCGCCATTGCTTGTTCTTTCGATCGCCCGCCGCTACTTACTTTTGGCTGCTTCTTGCTTGGAGGAAAGAAAGAAAGAGCGAGGTGAAGAGAGAGAGAAAGCGGCATTTGAAAATGAGCTAGGGGTTTACGACGACGCGGCCGCCCAGTTGCTTTTGATCGAGCGAAATGAAAGGCGATCGTCGGATGTGATCCGACTACAGAGGCTTAATTGGGCCAAACTCAGCCCAAAGTGGGCGCTGAAGGCCGGCCGCTTTCCGGCCTAGGCCCACGTTGTGGCTCTGGCCATGCTGGGAGAGAGCACAAGGAAGGGCGTGTGGGCGTGTGGGCGTCAAATGCGTTCAGGTAAAAAGATAAAAACAAAGAGAGTTTTTTTTTTTTTTTCGGAAAATTGAAAATGTAAATTGGCTCAAAAAGAAAAATAAAAAAGTAGTTTTATCCTGTGGGTAAAATTCAAGAAATTGAGTAAGAGTTTTTCCATTTGCTAAAGAAAAGTATATTCTCAAAGTTTTTCAATAAATGTTTTATTTTCTCGAAAATTGATTAATGGATTAAAGGAAATAGAAAATACAATTTTCCCTGTGGGTAAAGTTCAAGAAAAGGAGAGTTTTTTTCCACAGCTAGAGAAATGATTTATTCTCCGGTTAATTTGTACCAATGTGGTATTTAATTGGAGAAAAGGAAAGTTTTTCATTTGCTAAAGAAAATGTTGATTCTCCAATTATTTTGAACCAATGTGATATTTAATTGGAGAAAAAGAGTTTTGATATGATTATGATGTTGTTATTTTCTGACCAACGTTGTTAATAACAATATCATAATGCTAATGATTTATGCATTAATTCTACTTCTGCCCAACGGTGATGTAGAATTAGTGTATAAGAAAAGTTGATAATTTTAATGATTTATGCATTAATTCTACTTCTGCCCAACGGTGATGTAGAATTAGTGTATAAGAACATATGTTAATTTTAATGATTTATGCATTAATTCTATTTCTGCCCAACGGTGATGTAGAATTAGTGTGTAAAACGATTATGAAAGTTAAAGATTTATGCATTAATTATATTTTCGCTTTAACGGTGATGTAGAATTAGTGTATAAGAACATATGTTAATTTTAATGATTTATGCATTAATTCTATTTACTACCAACGGTGATGTAGAATTAGTGTGTAAAACGATTATGAAAGTTAAAGATTTATGCATTAATTATATTTCTGCCCAACGGTGATGTAGAATTAGTGTATAAGAATAGTTGTATGTTTTGATTTTGACCAACGTTGGAATCAAGGCATGCAAATGGTGTTAATTTTATGTTAAGAAAAGATTTGACCTGGTTTTCATCTTGTTTAAGGTGGACTGGGTAGTTACCTCACCGTGTTCCACTGAGTTTGTGGCACCGGTGAGGAAGACAAAAGAGAATGATGCCACTTGGGCAACTAAAGAAAGGGATTTTAAATCCCAAAAGATATTCTATGGCTTTTGAGCATAGGAAGTGGGTCACTGCAAACAAGAAATGTTTGGCTGTGATAAAGAACATGATTGAACCTACAATTGTGGGCTCAATCCCAGAATGTGACACGGTCACCGAGTACCTCGATAGAATAAAGAGTCAGTTCACTGGCACTTCAAAGACATATGCTACTCAGCTGATAAAGCAGCTGGTGACAGAGTGTTACTCTAAAAATGGTGGCATAAGAGAGCTCACGATGCATTGTCGAAATTATGGCACTATCATTCAGGCCATATTTCGAGGGGGAGAATAGAAAGACAAGTTAAGAATGATATTCTTCCTCCATTAGAGCTCTCAGATTTAGAACAATGCAGAGAATGCATAAAAGGAAAGTATGTAAAGAAGATTAAGAAAGATGCCAAACGAAACGCAGGAATTTTATTGGTTATTCACACATACATCTGTGGTCAACTTTCCTGTAAAGAGTGTGGATGGTTATGATCTATTCACAGATGATTACTCCCATTATGACTATATTTATCCAATCAAAGAAAGAAAAGATGTATTGGATAAATTTAAGATATTAAAGATTAAGATAGTCAGGTCTGATCGTGGGGGAGTACTACGGTCGGCATACCCTAAAAGAATGGCATAGTAGCTCAGTATTCTACACCGAGCGAACCTCAGCAGAATAGAGTATCTAAAAGAATCAATCGTACCCTGATGGATATGGTGGACAGTATGATAAGTTACTCCACCTTACAGTTGAACCTGTGAATGAAGGCGTTAAAACCGCCATTTATATTCTCAATAGAGTATCAAGAAAGTCGGTGCCCAAAACACCGTATGAGTTGTGGACAGAAAGAGTACCCTCACTAAACCACTTGCGTGTGTGGGGGGGAGCCCTGCTGAGGCTAAAGTATTTAACCCAAACATTGGGAAGTTATATCCCAAAACAGTAAGTTGCCATTTTATTGGCTACACATAAAAGTCAAAAAGTTTTCATTTTCCACTGTCCAGAGAGACATATAAAGTTTATGGAAACAAGACACGCTGTTTTCCTAGAAGATGAAAAGATGAGGGGGAGCATGGTAGCTCGAGAAATTGTCCTTAAAGTGAAGCGGGTGTATGCGCCCACTCCAATGATTCATGAGCCAATTTTTTCACTACCTGCTGTAGCTGCACCGACAGTGCTAGATACTGTGGTGCCAGCACCTGTTGTTATCCCACCTGTGGCAAAAATAAGTGAAAATGAGGAACCTGTTCTTCAGGATCCAATAGAACCAATTGCCACACATGAGGGGGAGCAACAGCAGCCTCAAACAGAAGATGTGCCAAATGTGGAGGCCCCTAAAAGGTCTCAAAGAGTTAGAAAATCAGCTATTCCTGCTGATTATGAAGTGTACAACACTAAAGAATTTCAAATGGAGGATTATCAAAGCCTCGTTTGAAGAAACCATGAGTAGTGATCAGTCATCAAAGTGGCTTAAGGCCATGGAAGATGAAATAAAATCATTGAATGCCAATAAAGTTTGGGACTTGAAAATAATTCCTAAATGAGTCAAAACAGTAGGCTATAAATGGGCCTACAAGACTAAACATGACTCTCAAGGAAATATAGAGACATATAAAGTGTGACTTGTGGCAAAAGGCTTTATGCAAAGAGAAGGGATTGATTACAATGAGACCTTTTCTCCAGTCTCATGTAAAGTTTCCTTCAGAATCATAATGGCATTAGTGGCACATTACGATTAAGAATTACATCATATGGATGTAAAGACGGCATTTCTCAACAGAGACTTGGAGAAAAATGTTTACATGGCA